AAGCTGGACTCACTTCCTCACGGTAAGAAGAGATTGGGAGGGTAGATAAGGAATGGGAAGAACGTACCTGGAGATAGCTGCCCCCAACCACAAATTTCTCACCAATTGGGCCGACGTGCATTTTGATGACCGGTCATTAGCCTCAGTACCACCCACAACGCAATGCAGTGCCACCTCAGCCAAAATGCCACGTCAGCATACTCTCATCATCATGCATACACCCGCTGTTGCCACAGCTTCCACGCTGTCGCCACAGTCTTCCAGCGGCTGGCCTCTCCACCTAGGCCCCGCTAATCAACCAGCGCCGAAGTATCCTTACTGCACATGAACCATCGCCAGCGCACCAAGTCACAATGTCGCCGGTGCCAGGTAAGCGGCGATCACCAACCAGCTCCGATACCAAATTGTAAGGAGTATGAGTGTGAGCGATATACATAAAACCAAGTTGCGAAATCACACAGCTGACCAAGTAGTCGTGTCCCAAGCAGAGAGTACAAATGCACCGAGAAAACCATCCATATAGAGCAATACAATGAAGTAATGAGCCAATGTTCAAGCCCGTAGGTCACACCAACACAGTATCCAAAGTCGCTCGGCTCTGTCTGGCGTTCAGCGCCCAGCCTACTCTACCAGACTATCCTACCTACAGCTGGTTCGCGCAACAGGATCACATCGACTCACAAAGTCCAATGTACATGACTGCCAACACCATCACCGACCTCTCTTCATGTACCAGATACGTATCTCGTCACCCTCAATCAGACCTTGATTACCCTACTCAGCGCCTCCTTCCCTGAAGACCACCTGATCATCCGCTGTACCTCCCTAGCGCCCAGCAGCCCGGCTATGGCTGCCTGCGCCCCGCTGCCCTGCAGTGCCCCACTTCACCTCTCGCGCCCCGTCAGCGCCCTTGGCAGCAGCGCAGCATCAAGCGAGAGCGCAGCAGCTCTTCCGCATTGCCAGCGCTGGCCAGAATGCCTGGCCTGGGCTGCTTCCTTCCTTTTGTGGAAGTGGCAGCCTCCTGGATGCTGCGTGTGGCCTGGCTGGAAGCTTCCAGTAGCTTCCGGTTGGGTCCCAGACCCTACGCCCAGGCTCGAGACTACAGTTGAGGGCGTGGGCCCTTTGCAGTTAGGCACGGCCTGAGTCTCCGGACTTGGGCTGTTTGCTGCATCTGTGCAGGGCTCCCAGGCAGGTGCATTGGCACTACTGCTTTTGCCAAGGCCGAAGGTCTGCTTCCCAATGTATTGGCCTTGCTTTGTGTACGTGTGCCCAGGCGCAACTGTCAAGGCCTGGGCCAACTGTATGACGCAGCAATGTGAGGCTCACGCGTCTTCCCAACCAACTGGCGTGCTGCGAGAGCCTGAATACCCACATATGGAAATGTTGAATTTTGCCTTTGACGAATATTCAGGCCCGCCTTCACTTAGGGCGGGCACTTGGCTTGCTGGGGCCCTTAGCCTAGAACAATGTGATGTCTGATAGGGCCCCTTGAGGGCTTGTTCCTCACACGGCGATGAACAAGCGCTAGCATGCCATGATCAAACATGCTAACAAGTCGTGCAAAGAAGGGAACTTCCAAGTAGGAAGTTATGTCTGGATCAAGATGTCTAAATTTTCCAAAGAAGAGCGAGTATCACAAAAGCTTCTTCCATTGTACTATGGTCCTTGGCAGGTTTTGAGGGGGGTAGGAAATGACAAACTTGGTCCTTCGTACATGATTGCCGAACCACCTCATCTGCGTACGTATCCGGTCTTTCCCGCATCCAAACTGTTTCCCCACATTGATGACGAGTCTTTTCCCTGTCGAGATTCTATGATTCCTTGTGCTATCAATGGTGATCACAAAATAGACAGAGTTGTTTCCCATGAAGTAAGAGCGAGGAACAGACAGTATAAAGTTCACTTCCTTTATCACCCATTGAAAGAGTTCTATTGGACCGACCGAAAAAGCTGCTAAAGAATGCTCCCCGTGTAATGAAAGCTTATGAACGATACTGCTAAGTTTTCTGCAGCATTTACTCCTCACGGTTATACCGGAACTCTTTCTGATCTACTCCTATGAGGCATTTTCTACCGACTTTGAACGAGTTCATTGCTTGAAGGGACCTCACTCTTGAAAGGGGAGTAGTGTAATGACCCGCCAAAACACAGACTGAGAACATTGCTGATTTCTGGGATTTCCCACTGGAATGTATGCCTTGCTGAGATTCCCGCATTCTGCTGTGATTTCTAAGTCTGTGTGTGTGTGTCCCTGCTGGTCTGCGTGCTTGTCTGAGTGCTTGTCGGCCTGAGTGTGTGTGTGACCCCCAAGGGTACTTGTTGGTTTGGAGGCCCCGCAGGGCCGGTACTTACCCGTGGCCGTGACTTCGAGGTTTGCAGCGGGAAAAGCACTACCGGCGGTAGGCCCATGACACTTAGAGCAGCAGGAAAAGCACTCAAATAGCAGGTGGGCCGGTACCACTCAAATAGTGGTAAAAGGTATCGGGTACTCGAGATTGAGCGGAAGTCAAAAAAGTTGGCAGTTTTAGAGGCTCGGTAGCGGTAGGCTAGAGGTAGGCCGGCACCAGTCGAAGTAGCCTGAGTCTAGGGCCTTTACGGACGATATCAGAGCCTGCAATGATGTTTGCCGCCGAAAGGGAGGAAGTACCGGCTGCTGGGAGGCCGCACGACCTAGGAAGTCACCTCCCAAGAGGCAAGTTATGGCATACTGCGCAGCCACACGGGCCTGCTGGGCCCGACCAGCGTTCGCAGCCTAAAAGCCTCACAATCAGGGCTTACAGGCCCTGTGTCGTTTCAGCCTGAAAGCCTGAAAACAGGGGCCTGCAGGCCCTATTTCGTTTCAGCCTAAAACAGGGCCTTTCAGGCCCTGAGTCTTTTCAGCCCGAAACGGAGGGCCACTTTCGGGCCCTCATAAGGTCGACCTGCCCTAACACTCAGGCACCAAACCAGGGTTTTAGGAACAGGCTATTTCTGGCCTGTGCCCACGACAGCCTCAGCAGGAGCTGCAGCGCGAGGCCCTGGCTCACGTTGACATTGGCAAGAGCAGCCTCCTGGACTGCCCCGCCCTGCAACTGCAGGCAGTCAAGAGGCAGGCCGAGGTAGTACATAGGGAGTTCCCATGCACTTCATGGGTAGGGAGAAGGCAGGAGTAGTCTTCAGGATTCGGCAGCAGCACTCTGGAGGAGCGCCGCAGGAGTAGCGCTAGCGCTAGCAGTAGTCTTCAGGGCTGGGCGTCGTAGTCTTCAGCGTTGGGCGCTGGTAGTGTTAGAGTAGCGTTGGAGAGGGAGATGTCTGGCGGAGGCCAGGGGGACTCACCTGTGGCACCATGGCTCCAGCTTCATCTTCGAGGTACCTGCATCAATGCGCCAACTTCACAGGTTAGTACCATACTGAGAGAGAGAGAGAGAGAGAGAGAGAGAGAGAGAGAGAGAGAGAGAGAGAGAGAGAGAGAGAGAGAG